GATATTTAATACTTTATATATATATATATATATATATAATATATATATATATATATATATATATGATTTTAATTTTAAAAATTGAAACAAATTAAAAATTGATAAGTAGATAATATTTTTTTTTAAAATACGACAAATATCAAAACTAATAAAAAATTAACATGTGGTAAAAAAACATTCATTTATTAATAAGAATACCCAAAGAAACGGTACATGGAGAACAAGTAGAATATAATTACTAGCGAGGTAGAAGAAAGTTGGCTCATTCTTAGCGACTTATATTTGGTAGAGGTTGTTGAATATATCATAAATATTTTTCTTACATAATTAAATATATCCATAAACTTATCGATGGTGTCTTATGTCAGAAAACAAATTTCCCTGCGTCAATGGATTCATATTTACTAGCCACAGTTATTATACTTATTTTGTTAAAGTCCAAAATTATATAATTGTGTTGTAACATACTACTTTAAAATATAGTTATTTTATTTAATAACTATTAATATTATCTAATTTATAGATGTACAGAAAAGGAAAATTGAAAAGAGTTATTATACTTATTTTGTTAAAGTCCAAAAAGATATAACATACTACTTTAAAATATAGTTATTTTATTTAATAATAACAATTAATATAATCTAATTTATAGATGTACAGAAAAGGAAAATTGAAAAGAGTTATTTTGGACCGGGTGAAGAAGATGCGGAGGCCAAAGCATGAAATATGAAAATGAAAATGGACAACATCAAGACGCTGTAAACTGTTGTACGTATTGTTAGAATGACAGTACATTGGTGTGTGGAGTCCAACTGTTTACACTGCAAGACTCTGTCTTGTGAATCGGACCGGTCGGTCGTCAAAAGATGAGAAAGAAATGGTACGAGACAAAAGCCGGCCCACTATGTTCCTGAATACCCCTTCACTTTTATATACATTTACATTTTACAACCTTCCTCTAATTCCTATATCCTAAATTTTGCCTCCCACATCATGCCAAATGTCAAACTAGATGTCGGCACACCCATCCTTTTCTTTTATGAACCATATTTGCATCCATGTCGTTTCACAATATATAATTAGAACAATAGTGATCAATCATTGATCGTACACAATACCCTTAGGGTTAATAACATAATCTTTTTTTAATTTTCCTAATTTAGTTAATCGATTTTATATTGTTTTAATATATTTTTTTCAAACGGCTAAATTTTCAATAATAATAATAATAAATAAAACAGTTAGCAAAAGGGTGTGGTGCCGGTGACATCATATTTCCAACTCAATGATTTTGATATTTTTTGTAATTTTTACCATTTTTAAAAACCTAAAGGTGTTGTGTTGATAGGTTAAAAAAGAGAGAGTAGAGAGAGATAGATACAAACATGATTTTTGCCATCGGTAGATAGTTATCACCGATGAAATACCGTTAGCAAAAACACACCACAGGGTGATGTTCACCGCAGGTAAAGGTGTCCATATCGGACTACCGTTGGTGAAATACCTACCACAACAGCTTTAAACGTGTCACAATCGGTCTGAACAAATCTCACTCTCATTCGGTCGGCAAAAGCTGTTATTGTGTTTTGTATATTTATTTTTTATTTTTGTACAAACTAGAAAAGTTGTTAGAAGTAGTATTTTGTTGGTTTATTTTTACTTTATTTTTGTTATGAATGCCTCATTTGTTATAACAAGAACAATTTTTATAACCTAAATACTTTGACTACGGTGAACTTTTGTGAACAAATTTTGGTATTTTAAAAGCGAATTTTAACGGGTGGAATCGTTTTAATAGAAAAAAAACAATTGAAAAACTGAATGGATGTAATTAAAGTAAAAAAATAATGCTTTTAGACTAACTTATGGAAATGGTTAATATGTTTGTATAAAAAATGCACATTCACACCAAATTATAGAAATCAAATTTTACAATTTGATTTAAAAAAAAAAACAAAAAAAAAACACTAAAGTCAAATCGTTTTTCAACCCAAAAAAATGAAAATAATTCATAAAAAGTTGAAACTGAATGGGTATTCAACCAAAAAAAAATGAATTTTTCAGTTTGGCATCGATATGTATTAGTATACATGTCTATTTATAGAGGTAAAAAATTTATAAATTTGGATATTTTAATTCTTTTGGATAAAAATAAGCTATGAAAAAAAAATAGCAATTGAGATTTAAATGTAATTTTTTGAGAATGTTGGTGGTTTTATTAAATAAAAAGGTAAACAATTGAAAAACACAATGGATGTAATCAAAGTAAAAAAATAATGCTTTAGACTAACTTATGAAAATGGTTAATATGTTTGTATAAAAGTTGAACATCCACACTAAATTATAGAAATCAAATTTTACTGTTTGATTTTTCAAAAAGAAAAAATAAATAAAATAAAAATCAAATCGTGTTTCAACCCAAAAAAAATGAAAATAAATCATAAAAAGTTGAAACTGAATGGGTATTCAACCAAAAAAAATGAACTTTTCAGTTTGGCATCGATATGTATCAGTATACATATCTATTTATAGAGGTAAAAAATTTATAAATTTGGATACTTTAATTTTTTTGGATAAAAATAAGCTATGAAAAAAAAAAAAAAAACGAAAAGAAATAGCAATTGAGATTTAAACGTAATTTTTTGATAATGTTGGTGGTTTTATTAAATAAAAAGGTAAACAATCGAAAAACTGAATGGATGTATTCAAAGTAAAAAAATAATGCTTTTAGACTAACTTATGGAAATGGTTAATATGTTTGTATAAAAATTGCACATCCACACTAAATTATAGAAATCAAATTTAACCGTTTGATTTTTCAAAAAAAAAAAAAAAAAGAAATTAAAGTTAAATCGTTTTTCAACCCAAAAAAATGAAAATAAATCATAAAAAGTTGAAATTGAATGGGTATTCAATAAAAAAAAATGAACTTTTCAGTTTGGTATCGATATGTATCAGTATACATATCTATTTATAGAGGTAAAAAATTTATAAATTTGGATATTTTAATTCTTTTGGATAAAAATAAGCTATGAAAAAAAAATAGCAATTGAGATTTAAATGTAATTTTTTTAGAATGTTGGTGGTTTTATTAAATAAAAATGTCAACAATCGAAAAACTGAATGGATGTAATCAAAGTAAAAAAATAATGCTTTTAGACTAACTTATCGAAATGGTTAATATGTTTGTATAAAAATTGCACATTCACACTAAATTATAGAAATCAAATTTTACGGTTTGATTCTTCAAAAAAAAAAAAAAAAGTCAAATCTTTTTTAACCCAAGAAAAGAAAATAAATCATAAAAAGTTGAAACTGAATAGATATTCAACCAAAAAAAATGAACTTTTTAGTTTGGCATATGTATGAGTATATTTATAGAGGTAAAAAATTTATAAACTTGGATATTTTAATTCTTCTAGATAAAAATAAGCTATGAAAAAAAAGGGGAAAAAAAAAAGAAATAGCAATTGAGATTTAAATGTAATTTTTTGAGAATGTTGGTGGTTTTATTAAATAAAAAGGTAAACAAACTGAAACACCCCTCGTTAGGGTATTATATATATATATATATATATATATATATATATATATATATATATATATATATATATATATATATAATATATATAGTTTAGTAGAGAACCAATATGGATCAAAGAACCAAAGAACTTATCTTAACCATCTATTTTCTTTTAATCTTGGTCATTAATCCTTAATTAACCAAAAAAACACGAAGGGGCATTTTGGTAAGTTCAGCATCTCATTTAATATTCATGTTTGTCTTCGTTAGCATCTTCTGTTACTGTCATTCATCTTCTCTAACACTGATCGATCCAAAATCACGCTTGTTCTTCGAAATCTCAACCTTTTTCATTCAATTTATTAATTGTTTCTTCAGATTTCAGTTAATAATCATGTATTTTTAACATCTATTCATCTTTCGTTTATGATTATTAGGTCAATTATGGACTTTGATTTTATCGTTTTTTTATGATGCATTGTTTATCAATCTTATTTTTATTCTTATTACAATCGTCTGTTTGTCAAATTCTATTGATTTTACCTTTTAATCTTCAGATTGTTATGTTTTCTATTGTTAATTTGCTAATTTTATGTCATATGTTGAATATCCATTTGATGTATACGTTTTTCATTAGATCGTTTCTGTAATCATACGATTGTAATGCATATTCGACATTTAGATAATCAATTATATCTTGAGCATCTTCTGACATTTAAGTTTTTTTCCAAACTTTTAGTGATTTTGAGAATCTTATCTTATCTTGTGCATATATTTTAAAGTTTTGTGATTATCTTGTTTATTTGTTTTCTTTTTTGTATAATTATCAGTTCTAAATTTCTAATCTATATATAAACTCCAGGTTAGTGACGATTCATTATAAGTTCTCTGCATTCTTGTTCAGATTTGCATTCAACTATTAATGAACAATCACGTAAGTTTTTTTTTTCTTAATATAAATTTTACATTTTCTATATAATGTAATAAAGTAGATTTTATTTTTTTGGTTTTGCAGTTCATGATCAATCATCTTCAAATATGAATATTGATCATTCAAATAGCAGTAATTCTTGTTTAGATTTGCATTCAATTATTAATGAACAATCAAGTAAGTTTTTTTTCTTAATATAAATTTCACATTTTATATATGATGTAATAAAATAGATGTTTTGTTTGGTTTTGCAGTTCATGATCAATCATCTTCATGTATGAATATTGATCATTCAAATAGCAGTAATTCTCGTTATAGTTTTGATTTTGAGCTCTACAATACTGAAACTTTTAAGCTTGTTCCTTATGATAAGTTGATACATAAGAAGCCTTTCAAAGGATTTTTGTTTGATTCGTGGACATTGGTCTTGACTTTTACAAGACTTATGGTCAAGAATCTGGTTTTGATGTAAATATGTCAAGTCAAAAAAGATACAATGATGGCACAATTCGTATTAGATATTTGACATGTAGTAGATCTGGTTTCATGGAGTCATTCAAGAATGAAAATATTAATGTGGAATTTTCAGATGTTAAGAGAAGGAGAACTTCTTCTAAGAAGAACGGATGCCCGGCTGTTTCAAAGTTCAAGAATCTTCGATGTTCTTTAATGTTCTACATTTATGTGTTTGTTGAAGATCACAACCATGAACTTGTTGCTCAAGATCAGTTGCACTTATTAAGGATTAATAGGAAAATGGATTTTCTTGATGAATCCTTTATACATAAGGTTGGTACTTGTAACATTGGTGCTTCAAAAGCTTATACCTTGGTAAGTAGTATGAAGGGTGGCTTTGATTCTAGGGGAGGGACTGCAATTGACTTTAAAATTTTTTATAGAGATTTAAATTCTAAAATTGGTGTCAAAGATTCCCAAATGGTTGTAGATATATTGACAAACAGAAAATTGTGTTTCTCTAATTTTCTTTTGAGGTCCAAAAAGATGTTGATGATCATCTTACTGGACTTTTTTGAGCTGATGATACTTCGAAAGCCAACTATAAAGAATTTGGAGATGTACTATCTTTTGATGCTACTTATCAAACAAACAAGTAATTCCTAATCCTTATTTGCTCTTTTTATGGTATTTGTTCTTTTTAATAATACTTATCAAAAAAAATTCAGGTATTCTATGGTATTTGTTCTTTTTACTGGAGTTGACTACCACAAGCGTTGTGATACTTTTGCTGCTGGTTTACTAGCTCGTGAGATAGCAGATGCATATGTGTGGTTGCTTTAAGTGCTTCGTAAAGCATTTGTCAAGCCACCCATGATGATTGTAACGGATCAGGGTTCATCAATGAAGAAAGCTGTTAATTTTGTTTTTCCTGAATCGAAGCATAGACTATGCATGTGGCACATCACTCAAAAACTTGAGGAAAATGTATATTCTTTCTTTCTTGATTCCTATATATGTTTATAACCATATAGATCATAAAGCACATTGTGAATTCACAATGTAAATTTACATATGATGAAAGTAACAAATCTAAATCATAAATCACACTATGATTTCATAATGTTAACCAAATGTTATGTTACTATGAATTACATCAAATATTCAACATATGTAATGCTTCTTATGTGTTTTTTTTATGATTCCTATCGATGTTTATAACCATCCGAACTTCCAGAAGACATTTTTTGATATTATATGGAATCTTCAATGCTTTCCACAAGATTTTGAAAGTTCGTGGTCAACAATGTTAGATAAGTTCCATCTAAAAGAAAATAACTGGTTAAGGTTTGTTTTTAAAATAAGGGATTTATGAATTCCAACTTTTATGAGAGATCTTGAACTTTCTGGTTTGATGCGAACTACTTCAAGATCAGAGAGTCTGAATTATGCTTTCTCACGTTTTTTGCATCATAAATCAAATTTGGTGATGTTCATGATGTCGTTTGATAGTGCAATGGAGAAGCAAAGGCATCAACAATCTTTATTAGATTATCAGTCCACAACTACTAACCCCAAGCTAAGGACTCCTTTGGCTATTGAAAAGCATGCATAAAAAATTTATACACATAATATTTTCTTAGACATTCAGAAAGAGTTATACAAATCTGTGTTTTATTGTGTTCAAGAATCTTTAGTTATTGAAGATGAAAGTGAAGTTTATGTTTTGAGAGATAAGAAGAAAAAAAGTTGATTGATAAAAATGTGAATAAGGATGAAGATTCTGATGATTTTTATCGAAATAGTATTCCTTCTCATTGTCCTAATACTCGTTATAAGGTCTGTCTTTTTGTCCTAATACAATTTATTAAATATAAAATGTAGTTTAAAAATTCACACTGTGAATGTAGGATGTTTTGCTAATTCATAGAGTGAATTTTTATAGAGTTATAAATTGGTTTGTACTTTTCATTAGATTAGTATGGAATATGTATTTTTTTGTGAATTTGATTTGAAGTACATATTTATATTATAGTATTATGATTTCTAATGTCATGTTGATTAATAATGTGAATCGATGTTAATTTGTATAATTTTTGTCAAATGGTATGATATAGAATTTCTTATTCACATATTAATTTGTTTATTAATGATAATTTTGTAGGTTGTATTTAGTAGAAGGGATGATAGCATTAGCATCAGTTGTAGCTGCATGCTTTTTGTCCAGGAAGGATTGTTATGTCGTCATATGTTTTTCATATTAAATATGAAAGAGTATGATGAAATTCCATGAAATTTCATTTTAAGGAGATGGGGAAAAGATATCATAGCTGATGGATTGTTGAGAAAAAGGTACTCATATCCTCATAAAGGCAATAAAAATGAATGTTTGATTCAAGATGCGTATGCTATTCTTCGTTTGTCCATTAACAAGAAAGAAAATAATGAGGATGAGTTTGCTAAATATATAAAGCAACTTCAGGAGGTTGATAGTGGTATTCCTTTATGTACCTCATCAAGGGTATCTTCGAGTAGATCAGCTCACATTGAAAAAATTATTGGAGTTGCAATACCTGATGTTATCAACATTCATAATCCAGAGGGGATCAGAAACATTGGATGTGCCAGTGGTAAAAGAATCAAGAGCACTAGAGAGAAAGTGATTGAGAAATCTAAAAAGGGTTCTAGGTTGTGCAATTTATGTCATAAACCAAATCACAATGCTAGGAGTTGCATTTTGAGGTTAAAGAAGTCTGATTTAGAATCTGAGGTTACGAAAGGCTGATTGTTTCTATTTTTTTTTTCTTTTTAAGACTACTAAAATAAGATTTGATTTTTGTAATGATCATTCAATGGATAGAAATGTTGAAATATTGATGTTAATTTTGATATTCATTGTTTTAGACTTTATTTCTAATAATAGAATATATTTTTTTTCAAATTTATTGTTTTTGGTTAAAGATATTTTTTATTGTTAGTTTTTTGAATCTTTTCTAATAAAAATTTCATGCTAATGATTTAATTTATGCATATTATTGTTAATCTCATATAGAAAATTTTCATGTTAAAGATTGTCTTAATGTAATTTAATTCACATTGTGAATCTCAACTATTAATTGTCCTAATGATCTATATGTACCATAATTCACATTGTGAACCTCACATATAAAATATACATGTTATAATAAGTAAATGTATGAAATGACAATTTACTTTCAATTCCTTATTCAAAGTAGAAATATAATCACCCCCCCACCACCCCCCCCCCCAACCCATCTATACACCAATAGCATATTTTTAATAAAACATGTAATTGTATAACATACATCTAGACATTCACATGAAAATATAAACATCTTTTAAGTATTTAGTAAAGTTCATTATATTTGATATAGAAACTAACATCAAATTGTAACATAAAAAGCATGTATATGTTCTTAAAGAAATTAAAGTGCATCTAAACTTATACTAATTATGAATAGAAAACTAAGTTTTAAGTTTTACACTTCTTTTTCCAATTCTTGAAGTACTATATCCTTTCTTCCCTTTTTCCCCATCCATTGTTAAGTGAATCTTTTATTTCTTCATTAGTCTTTTTTGCGAACTTAGCTGTTTGTGCAATGATTTTTGACCTGTATGTGTTTGCATCACTCAATACTATCTTTGTCAAATACTTAATGCGTACATCGTTTAATACACTTTGTTGTTGTTGTTTTGATTTTTTTGGCAACCCACATGTCCAATTTACTGTTTTATGTCCCATATATGTCTCCATATGAGGCATGCAAAAAATTCCACAGTTAACATGATTATCCCTCGTGCGCCAATTCATGTTCACCCTTTTTGGTTCAACACCCTCCAAAGTTGAAGCTGATTTGTGATTGACCCTCATCAAGTACCTACTAAAAAGTATTTTTTGCAAAAAAGAAATTGTCATTCTCTATAATTATTATTTTATTTAGATTATCAGTCTATTAATACTTATATTTATAATGTAAATTTACTATTCTTACCAATTCATTATGTGCATCACGATAAGCTCTAGAAAAATTTGTAACTGAATTCCTATTGTCAATGACATCAATCGCTGGTTCCTCTAAGTTTATGCAGATGATGTAAAAGTGATTTTTTGATGAACTGGTAAAAACACCTGTTAGAAGTTTAATAATTTAAATTGTTAAACTTTGTTTAAAATATGTAATATATTCAACAAAAAGAACAGTTTATTACCATGTGAACTTTTTCAAATGTCAGAAGTTCTTTGTCCTTTTTCATTGCATCTTTGATATTTGACTCAAATTTATCAAATCTTTCATTGAAATGATATTTTTGTCAAATATGAATTGTCTCTGAAAAAAAATTTAATATACATCAAACTTTAAAGAGTAAATTGTTAAATTCAAAATAAGGTAAATTTAAAATTTAAAATTATTCACACTGTGAATTATAATGGGATTTACTGTGTGAATTTTCTTACTTATTCAAAACTATTGAAAATTTTATTTATTATATTATAAACATTATCATGATATATATTTTTTTAATTAACTTACCACCACTGACGTATCAAAGAAATACCGATTCACTGTAGAATTTGATTTAAGCTTTTCTTTGTAGTTCAAAATATCAGTCCAAGCATCAATGACATGTGCATGTACCCATAATCCTGGCTGCAGTGTTTCAATCATTCCTCTTCCAAGTACATAACCTGTCTTAGTATGAAATACCTTCTCACTTAATTTGTAATCAAATAAAACAAAAAAGCAATTAATAGAAAATTAATGTGTATTTATATTTATATACTGTTGTATTTAAATAAAAGATAACATGAATTATTACCTGCTATTATCAATTCTGGAAAAAACTCTTTCCGATACTTTTACTTCATTTGGATCTACAAATTTTGATGCACAAACCTCTTTTTTATTATAAGGATAAGATAGCTTCAGTGATGGTTTTTTTTAATCTTTTTCCTACTTCTCTTTTTTTTTCTCTTCATCATCTTCAATTCCCAAGATATTATTGTTACATTCTGTTTCTTCTGAATCATAACTTTCTCCTTCATCAAGCTTTTCATCTTTTATTTTTTTCTTCATGTGTTCATCTTCACTGCTTTCATCTCCTTCCCGAAACTCTTGTGTTAGACCTAGACCAAGTTCAAGTGAAAAACTAGGTATTGATGATTTTCTAGTATTTTTGTTCTTTTTTTTTTATCATCTATTATTATTATTTTTTTTATTTTTTTGTTCTCTAAAACTTTTTACATTTTCAAAATCATCAAAATTTAAAATACATTGAATAGAATCAGCAATCTCATGCACTATTGGATCATTGTAGAAATTTCCTGGTGTTACCATGATTGGTTGTTTCTTTATTTCATGTTCATTCAAATTCTCATTGCTTTTTTCTTCATCTTTATTCCTGTCACTTTTTGCATCATCTTCATTTTGAGTTTTATAAATGAATTCTTGTTCAAAGACTTTCTTCATATCTTTCAACTCATCGCTTTTTGTGAATTTTGTTGTTGAAAACTTAATTAACTTTCCAAACTTCATTTTATCATTCACTAGTTTTTTGTAATTTTTTTTCGCTTTGAATACCAATTCCTGCGAAATGAGATAAAAAATGTCAATAAAATTGATTTTTTTTTAAAACTTTTTTCTATAATAAATTATAGTTTCAGAATATAAATGCATTGATGAGGTATCACATTTTTAATGCATTTTAATAAATTACATATTCACTTTGTGAATTTATTATAGAAAAAGTAATAAAATACACTTTTATATTCACAATATGAATCACTTTATGAACTTCATCTTAACTACAGTTTTATAACATCTATTTGTAATATAACTTCAATTTTTTTTAAGGGAAAATGACTCTTGAGGGTAATTAACTTTTGCGTTTGTACTCATTTGGTTCCTTTCCTTTTTTTGTATTCAATATACCATCGAACTTGTTGTTTGTGTTGACCATAACCCTTTTGACCTGTGATAGCCGGTCAAAGGGTTATGGTGAACACAAACAACAAGTTCGATGGTATATTGAGTACAAAAAAAAAGGAAAGCGACTAAATGAGAACAAATGCAACAATTGGTTACCCTCCTGATTCATTTTCCCTTTACTCATTTACAGCAAATCCCACATCATCTCGTACTGATATTAATGACTTTATGAGATTCATTCTTGCTTCTCTTCAAAACATAACCTACGAAAGGACATTATTCATACATGTACAACTTTGTAATCCACTTGAATATTTATTAGGGGAATCTTGACTAAGCAGGCGCATTTCATAACTACATTTACATTTCCAGTCAAATGATTTATCGTATCATGGATTCTAGACAAGTCTACAAATGAGTGGAATCACAAGTGCTATGATTTTTGAGTTTACTTAGCTTTAAGATCGAACTCATGGGATAAGATACAACATCAATATGTACAATATCAAGCTGCTTTTGTAGACACGTCACCATAATGTTGTACATATTGATGTTGTATCTTATCCCATGAGTTCGATCTTAAAGCTAAGTAAACTCAAAAATCACAGCACTTGTGATTCCACTCGTTTGTAGACTTGTCTAGAATCCATGATATGATAAATCATTTGATTGGAAATGTAAATGTAGTCATGAAATGCTCCTGCTTAGTCAATATTCCTCTAATAAATATTCAAGTGCATTACAAAGTTGTACATGTATGAATAATGTCCTTTCATGGGTTATGTTTTGAAGAGAAGCAAGAATAAATCTCATAGTCACTAATATCAGTAGGAAATGACGTGAGATTTGCTGTAAATGAGTAAAAGGAAAATGAATCAGGAGGGTAACCAAATGTTGCATTTGTTCTCATTTGGTCACTTTACTTTTTTTGTACTCAATATACCATCGAACTTGTTGTTTGTATTCACCATAACCCTTTGACCGGCTATCACAGGTTAAAAGTCGGTTAAAAGGGTTATGGTGAACACAAACAACAATTTCGATGGTATATTAAATACAAAAAAAAAGGAAAGGGACCAAATGAGTACAAACGCAAAAGCTAATTACCCTCAAAAGTCATTTTCCCTTTTTTTAATTATATAGATTATTAACTTACATTGAGTTTTATATCTTCATTTTCATCGGTGTCGGATTCTTCATCATTCTTTATAACATCCCCATTCCATTCCAAAGTTCCAAAGTCACCACTTTTTAACTCAACTTTTTTCCTTTTCACCATCATTTAATAATCCCCAAAATGTAGTGCATGTATTTGTCTTTTTTCATTCTTATCATTTCTCATAAACTCCAAATAAGCTAGCTGTTTATGTAAACAAAATTATGATTAATTTGTTTTCTTATAATAATATAATTAAAAGTGTTAATTATAAGAATTTTCCATACCAATAATACAAGAAATGGCCCACAATAGTAGTTTCCTCTATCGGTTTCATCCCACATTATCTTTGATATTTTCAAGCAATTGGTTATAAAACCACACCAATCAATTTCTCTCATAGGTGTTTTGCCTAACAAATGTGGCAATACTGTTGTCTTACAAGTTCCAGGATTATTCTGTTCACATATGGTATTAATAAACAGTAATAAAAAGTTTGTTCTGAAAATAATCTCTGAATCTGATGATTCTTTAATTCTCTCTTCAACATCTGATGGTCTCATAGCCTTGAAATTGTACTGTTGCTTCCAATCCATTAATTCTTTCACATTGATCAGTGTTATACATACATACATACACACACACACACACACATATATATATATATATATATATATATATATATATATATATATATATATAATTCTTTCACATTGATCAGTGTTATACATACATATATATATATATATATATATATATATATATATATATATATATATATATATATATAGAGAGAGAGAGAGAGAGTCAAGATCAAATAAGAAGGAAATTTTTGGTAGGAAGGTAAGAAGTTTTTTTTCTACATATTTTTTTCGCGAACAAACAAAATGAATCATTAGCTGATTCATTTGTAAGATGATTCACAAGAAAAAATTCTCAAAAAAACATCTCGATGATTCATTTATACAATGATTTTGTTGTTATTCACTAAAATTATCATAAAAATGAAATTTTTTTCTTAATTTACTTAAAAATGAATCATAAAGATGTTTTTTTGGGAATTTTTTCTTGTGAATCATCTTACAAATGAATCATCTAGTGATTCCTTTATTTTGTTCGTCAAAAAAATATGTAGAAAAAAAACTTCTTACCTTCCTACCAAAAATTTTTTTTCTTACCGGATCTATATATATATATATATATATATATATATATATATATATATATATATATATATATATATATATATATATATATATATATATATATATCTTTTCCACCTAGAGGAATTCCAAGCAAATCATGAACAAGTTCTGGTCTTATGTCTATCTTTACATTAGGTAGATGGATTTTCATATCTGATGGATTGAATGAATTCACAACAAAACGTGCAAATTTCCTAGAAATTCCATTGTTTGCAATTCTCAGCAAAGATCCCAATCCCATTTCTCTAACAACTTTTTTTTTTCTGTTCTTTGTTTAAAGATTTAACAATATCATAAAGCTTCTTTGGGCTCATTCTTGTTCTGAAAGATACCCTGTCATTTGGATTTATTAGCACTTTTGTCTTTTTTTCTTTGACTACTTCCGAAATCTTTGTTTTTCTTTTTCTTTTTCCTGTTATTCAATAATTTTCATAAACTTCTCATAATATAACATATATACTATAAAATAACTAACAATATAAGAAATTCACATGTGAATTTGTTTTGCAAAATATAATATACTACATAAAATAAACATGTGAATTTGTTTATAACTTTGTAAATTAAACATGTGAATAGTAATTAACAAACCTGTTACTTTTTCATCAAATTCTTTCTTTACAAGGCTATCATCAACTTTAATAGGAATCACAAATTTTTTGTATTCAATCATTTTAAATCTTGGACTCTGTTTGATTTCTATTCATGTTTTAACAAAATTAATAAGAATTAATTTTATAATATCAATTTCAATTATAATTTTATAAATACTAACCTTTAGTTATTTTCTTTTCAGGTGTCTTGAAAATAGATTTGTCTTGCTTCATTGACTTTTTCGTTTTTGTTTTTTTGTAATGTTGGACTCTGTTTGATTTCTGTTCAATTAAAAAAAATAAAGATAACTGATTTTATATATTAAAGTAAATTATAATTTTACAAATACTAACCGTGTGTTGTTTTATTTTCAAGTGTCTTCAAAACAGATTCATCTTGCTTTATTAATTTTTTTTGTTTGCTTTTTTTTTTAATCTCATCACCTTCTAAACTTTTTTCTTTTTCAACATTTTCATCGATAGTCTTTTCATCTTCATTTTTTGTTAATTTATTAACTGTTTCCACCACGGTTCTCCTTGCTGTTTTTTTGGTATATTTTTTTGAACCTTCAACTACACAATGTGAAATTTTTAATATCAATGTCAAAATTATAAGTAGTATTATGAAATTCATGTCAAACAATATAAAATTGAACATGTGATGATCAAATTGCAAAAACTTTTTAGAAATTCACATTGTGAATCTGTTAGGCTATGAGTTATATCCAAGATTCACATTGTAAATTTATGTATTTAACAACAAAAGAGTTTGAGGTTCACCAAGTGATGTACACATACACATTGTGAATTTTTAAAATTATTTTGTGCATAGTGAATACAAACAAAAGTGTTGACCAACTTGATTTTTTTTTTTTTTTTTTAATTTTAAGAGATTCATGTGTGAATGTGAGACATACATCCAAGATTCACATTGTGAATTTATGCATTTCATAACAAAATAGTTTGAGGTTTTGTTTGAGGTTCACCAAGTGATGTACACATACACATGGTGCATTTTTACAATTATTTTATGCATAGTGAATACAAACAAAAGTGTTGACCAACTTGAATTTTTTTTAAGAGATTCACATTGTGAATCTGTGTGAATGTGAGACATACATCCAAGATTCACATTGTGAATTTATGCATTTAATAGCAATAGAGTTTGAGGTTCACCAAGTGATGTACACATACACATGGTGAATTTTTACAATTATTTTGTGCATCTTGAACACAAACAAAAGTGTTGACCAACTTGATTTTTTTTAAAAGATTCACATTGTGAATCTGGGTGAATGTGAGACATACATCCAAGATTCACATTGTGAATTACTTTTTTTTTTTTAATAAATGTGTAGTATATGATTAGGTAATTAGTTATTTTAATCTGATGTGAATGTTCTAACTTTTTTTTATCTTGAATATCTTCAATTTTTTCACTTGTAGTTGAAGGTAGAACATCTTTTAGATTTCTTATCAATTTCATTCTTTTCTTATTATCCTTTTTTTTCGTTGATCTTTTCTTCATTTCCTGTTTTTGATTAACAAATTAATTCAACATCAATTTCATGGTATGAAAGTTATGATTTATTCATATATTTCACAATGTGAATTTGGATTACAAATGAATTTAACATAATATTTATTCACATTGTGAATTCAGTTTGGATCAAAACATTACCAATGCAACTCTTTATAAATTTACAATGAGAAGCACAATAAGAGATACAATATCCATTAAACATAGATGCACAATGTGAATTTCACAAGATGAAAAAATTAAATGTATATGATAAATCATCCTGTGAATATACAATTTGAATAAATGATATGTTAAATTTATATATAACCATGATTCACTTTGTGAATTGTCAAGTAATTTAATTCTCAGAAACATTGAATCCTTTCAAAATAATCAAATGTAAACCACAAAGCACACAATGAATTCAAAATGTGAAATTAGTTTTTCAGTTTAATGGATAAACTCAGAAACCACTTAGATTCACAAAGCTTTTAGGAAATTACGATTTGTAATTTAGATATTGATGATTTTTTTATTGATTTGAAGAAATTTATATCATTAGGTTTTTGGTAATTATACAAATTCTCAAAAGTTCATGAAATTAGGGTTTCGATTTACTTAATAAACTCATATTCGAGTTAGATGCACAAAGTTTTAGGAAATTTCAGTTTGTAATATAGATATTCATGATTTCTATATCAATTTCAAGAAATTTAAATCATTAGGTTTTCGTTATGTATACAAATTATTAAAAGTTCATCATCCGAGGGTTTCAAATCAGTCTAAAATGATTTTGTTAATAAAATAGTTTATTCACAGATTCATCGAATACATAATGTATCAGATTGTTTAGATTTGCGTTTTGAAATTTATCAATCGAAAAAATATAATGTTGAAAATGCATTAAATGAGATAATCCGAAATGAATAGCAGTCAAATATACTTTCTAGATTCATTTTGACAAACTTTTCGGGATGATTCACTGTGGATATTGACTGAATCGTCGCCGGAGATCCGTTTGAAATCGATGTTCATCGGTGAAGTAAAAGATCGCTTTCAATGAGAGGGTAAAATCGATTTCACTGATATGTGACTGATGAATTAACATCGTTAATTAACAATGAGAGTTAATAAGTTTTAGGTTGATGAAAATGCCCCCTTAAGTTACATGTTTGGTTATAATCAGCTGCACACTATTGTTTTTTTTATACTTTTACATCTTAAATCCAATGGCTGTTAATTTTTTGATCCAACCATCTTAATAGGTTCCATGGTTCCTCCACCCATATTGTTTCTCTATTAAACCCCTCCTATATATATATATATATATATAAAAGAAAACATTATCTTAGTTCAAAAGTATTAATGATAATATTTGCAAAAAAAAAAACAAAACAAAACAAAACAAAACAAAACAAAAAAATGGTTTCAATTCTATAAAAAAACAAATCAAAATGTTTAAAGGAAAAAAAAAGGGGGGGGGGGGTAACAACCATGTATCAAAGTAAAGATTAAATACCATACAAACCATAGCCTTCTAAAATGTATGCGATACTCCTTCTAGTATCTAAAGTCGTCTATTTAAGAATACATGATGATCTATTTCCAGTAAGAAGAGAGAAATTTATTTCACTCAAATCAAACTTTCAAAATCTGAGAAAGTTTCATGGATCAAATAAGGGTTCTATGGACCCAAACTAGACTAGGTATTATATAATCCATTGTTTCAAACATATCTAAAAGTTAAACATTTGTTTGGAAAGATTGTCAAATCACATTAAGCTCCTAAAGGTAAATGAGGAATGA